TTGCAAAGTGTATACACTTTTAAAACAGTACATCAAAAGTACATCAGAAGTGCATCAAAAGTGCATCAAAAGTTCATCAAGAATTCATCAATATTTTGTCTTAAATTTATAGTTTTTGAACTAAATTTCATAAATACATATCAAATGCATTTCAACTCACAACAAGACTAAACAAGACTAAGCACACAATTCCAAGTTGAATTGCATCCTCATGTAAAGTATACTTACACAAAGTCTCAACCACTGAAGTAAAATACACTCAAGTAAAACAATCCTCAAGTAATGTCTGCCATGCTCAAGTAAAGTGTGCCATGCTCAAGTGAAATCACATCCTCAAGTAAAAGCTCAACAGGTAAAGTCACACCCTCATGTAAAAGCTTCTCAAGTAAAGTCACATCTTCTTTATGTAACAGCTTCTTAGTTCTCAAGCCAGGGTTGAGCTTGAGGCTTCGCAGCATGGACAACAAAATCCTCAAGGTAAGACCGCACTTGTCAATCATATCCTCAGTGGTATGGCCTTTGGGCAATGAAGAAAATTCTAAGTCCCTGTTTGCAATCATTGCCCTGAGGGTCGCATTCAACTTGGTAGGAGTGAGCTTTGTGTTTGGACACACTTTCACCAAGTCAAAACGCAAACAACTTTGGACAACCACTCTCCATGAGGAGCTGTGCGCCATCCATAGGACATAGGGCCAGTGGGGGTGGGCAGATCAAACTCCATAGATCCTTCTTCTGCTTGAACTGCAAGAACCGTTGGATTGCAGTGGCTGGCATGCTGGGGTCAGCCACCAATCGAAACCTCCCACTTTGCTTCAATGACCTCTCCTCCACAGCAGCTTGCATCTTTACCTGTGCAGCTGCTTCCAAAGCAGCCATGGTCACAAACCAAAAAAAGCTAAAAGCAACTCACAGAGCCAAAAGATCTCTCACATAAAAGATGCGCCCTCACACTGGCAAAAACCATCAGAGAGACAGAGACTGTGCTTCTTCCTAAAGTGAAGAAAAGTCCATATCCTCAAGTAAATTTCCTCCCTGAAGTAGACACCCTCAAGTAGAAAGGTTTTGTTCAAGTCAAGAAGGGTTCACAAGCTCAAGTAAATGCAATCCCTTCAAGTAAAGGCAAAGTCCACACCTCCTGCCACCCACCAATTGTCACCACCCAATTGTCATCACCCACCAATTGTCACCCACCATTTGTCACCAACCAATTGCTACCAACCAAATGTCAACAACCAATTGTCATCAACCAATTGCCACCCACCAATTGTCACCACCCAATTGTCATCAACCAATTGTCATCAACCAATTGCCACCCACCAATCGTCACCCACCATTTGTCACCAACCAATTGCTACCAACCAATTGTCAACAACCAATTGTCACCCACCAATTGCTACCTACCAATTGTCACCAACCAATTGTCATCAACCAATTGTCATCAACCAATTGCCACCCACCAATTGTCATCAACCAACTGTCATCAACCAATTGTCATCAACCAATTGCCACCAAATGTCACCAACAAACTTCCACCAACCAATTTCCACCAACCAATTGCCACCAACCACTTGCCACCGACAAACTTCCACCCACAAACTGCCACCAACCAACTGCCACCAACCAATCGTCACCCACCAACCACCAATTGTCCGCTCCTGTGTCTGGTGAAGTTGTTAACATGTGGGGTTATCCGGTCCTATAATTTTTGAAGGCTTAGGAGTTTGTGCGCCTGTTGGGACAGATGAATCGCAGGATGATGTTGGAGGGTTTGAGGATCCATTTCCGCCTGCTCTCAGACCCCGCTCGCTGACCGGATATGGTTCTTCGCTTTTCCGTGGCAGCAGTTCTCCAAGTTGCAGCACTCCCTCGTCAGTGGGCCAGGCGAGGTCTCTTTGTCGAACTTGTGCTTCCGGCCTGACCCTTTGCCCGCTATGCTTGCCCCTCAACCGAACCAATGCTCAAATTTTAGTTGTTTTTGTGTGCGCGGCCTTCCTGACCCGAGCTGTCGAAGCATTGAGGCAGCTGCTCGTGAAGGTGCACGCAAGTTGAAGGTCTCGCTGTCTGGCAACAAAGACATCAAGGGAAGTACAAGCGGCAAGTTGGAGACATGCTTCATGGTCCTGGAAATTTCCCGGTCGCTGTCCGATCGCATGATTTCCAGATGCTTTTGGAAGTTGGAGAATTCCACCCTGCGGGTGCCATCGTTTGTCATCAGCCCCTTCATGGACAGCTGCGAGGGCTTTGCTGTTGTGCCTGCAATGCTGTGCTCCCAGCAGGTGCAGGTGGAGGGGAGTCGCAACAAGGGTGTCGCGAGCCTGGAGCCGAGCAGCGTGAAGGGCGATTTGATCTCGCTTCTTTGCATCCTGCAGTGACAAGACTCCAGATCGTTACGAACACATGTCGAAGCATTGCAGCAAGGTGCCGCTGAAGGATAGGCCGTGTACTCCCCGTGATGTCTCTTGGTTGCCTCTAGTTCCGGCTTGAAGGATCCCATTGACCTCGCGATCTGCGCCTTCCGGCCCGACTTCTTCAAGTCAGAGAACTTCGCAGTCGAGTGTGGAGATGCATGGCCCAAGAAGGAAAACTATGGAGAAGATCACCCACAAAGCTAGTTGCCTAACGGTCTGGGCCTGCGAGTAGTCTTTTTTGCGAACGTTGCCTTGTCCGAAGTCCCAGGCAATGGGTTTTGCGGGGCTTACGTTCTTGGATAGACTTGTTGGATGCATGCAGCATACATACAAATACATTCATGCACCTGGAACTGCTTCCACTTCAGTATAGGTTTTTCAAGGAAGCAACATTTCATGTAAAGCATTGGGTCAGTTTTTTGGCAAGTGACTTGCTTTCGGCCTCAAACATGCAGATTTCATTCGCCTGTTCTGTGATGGAAACATGTGGGCCACAAGAACTGGCAGCATCACCCGCCAGCGGGAAAATAAGATCCACAATGACAAGCTTACCGGCGCCAGTGGTTTTTGCAGCAACCTTCGTTTCCGGCGATGGAAAACAGTTGCGGCCGGATTTCACTAATATGTTTCGCCCAGGGCTGCGTCCATCCCAGTTTTGCTTGAAATGACTGCCCTTTAGCAAACCTGCGTACAGGGCCACTACATGACAAAATGATAGGTCGTTGTTCTGCTTGTCCATTCACCGATGATCAGCGATGCCTTCCCAACAGATCAAGTGTTCTGGAATGTGGCGGTCCATGAATGAGTTTGTTTTAAATTGTTTTTATTGGTTTTTTGGTGATTATCATTGCCACAAAGAATTGTCTAGAGAGGTTGCTTTTATTGTTGTTTTATGGTGATTATCATTGCCACCCGGAATTGACCGTGGGCTTAAGTTTCTCTAGACAATTCTCTGATTGCTTCTCGACATGAAACATCCAAATCAATGTTTCTTCACTTACTTGTGTTTTCGATGGCACCCCCAAAAAATCACCATGGACCCTCACCGTTCAAAGATGGTCCGAGTCCTCCGGCTGCCCAGGCTACAGCGCCACCACGCTGGAGGCCGACGTGGCCGCCCTCCGCCGCGCCGAGACGTCGCCGTCCACGTCCACAGCGCTCTTGCGGCGCACCAACGCGCTGCGAGTGCGCGTGGGCGAACGACAGGCCGGGTGTCGGGCGTCGGTCGGGGTGAACGGATGGCTTTCACGGGTATGAACGGGTGGGGTCTTGGCCATGTTTTCTATGTATGGGGAGGTCCTTGGCCGGTCTTGGCCGTTGAAGAACTTGAAGTTGATATCGTTGGATGTGACTTTTTGGGTCATTGGCTCTGGAGTGGGTTGTGGAGCTTGTTCACCACCAGAGTGTGTGTGTGTGAATGTTGGTGATGTTGTTTGAGACACTCGCAGATATATAGTTATTGTATGTTATTGTCATTGTGATGTTGGTGAGTGACGAAGTGGCAACACATTCCCACTTAAATCGATCGTAACTGTAACTATTACTTTGACTGGGTTGGCTAAGCATGGCTAAGCATCATTGCCCATTCGAGTAGGTCTACATTCCCCCGTTGGCAAATCGTGTTGACTGTTGACATGTCTGAGATCGATTGAAGACAGATGCCACGAAATCATGGTGAAACTCACAGCCGGCTCACTCACAAGTACTTTTCACCCAGACCCGAAGCACCTGTGCCTCACAGAGGTCCTCCATCGTCTTCAGTCCGCCATCACTGCCCGCCTCACTGCGACCGCGGCGACCAGCGCTGCCACCGCGAGCGCGTCGGCCACTGTCGCGAGCGGCGCCAAACGTGCACGGCAGGAGCCGGTCAATGGCGAAGCGAGAGAAAATGGAGCGGCACGAGTGGCGTACGGTTTAGTGGTTTTTGCTGGGGGTTGGCCTATTGATGCCTAATGTGCCACACGTGCTTTCCTTGGATGGCCTAGTTTGCATTGCAGTCAGTGGTTTCCCTGTCTAAAGTGTGTTGTCCTTCTTTACGGGCATTGGTTTACACCTGAAAACGCTTGAAATCTGAGGAGGTCAAATGGCCCAAACGTCAAAATCGTTGATTCCAAACGAGCATCCTTCCCAACCACTGGGGTTTTGAGTGTTGGTTGCTCGCATCCGCACAATGACCACACTGGTTGATCGATCGCGGTTGGAGCACCGAATTATTATACAATTCGATACAATTAGGGCCGTTTTGGGGCTGGTGCCACGCACATTTCTGACGGATTTCCTGTGTGAGTGTAAATATGTTATAACACCACTGTTTATGCTGGGTAAGAAGCGAGGTTGTAGTTGTAATTGTTGTTGTTGTTGCTGTTGCTGTTGTTGTGGTGGTGTTCGGTTTTTGTTTCTACATGTCCTTCAGTGTCTTGTTAATTTGGTACCCTGCAAATATCATATATCGATATGATATATATATATATATGCCAATCTCCCATGAAGAGGTCAAGTGTGGCAGGCATTGTTCCTTCTCATCCCTCCTCATTTCCCCGTCCTGGTATTGGGAATTGGGATACTCAGACAAGCCCCTGATCAGCCTCCAAGGATCAGAACAAAGATGGGGTGGTCTCCATTGACGAGTGGCGCAGAGCACGGGTCCCCGCCCAAAGGCACGGGCCACGCTTTTTTGAAGCAGACACCGGCAACACTCGGAGAAGCTCTTTTGGAAGCATGTCATATATGTTTCCTGCGTGATAAAATTGCGACCTGGAAAGACTGAAATGCTGCTGTTTCTGAAGTGGTTTGGACCAGCGATAAGTGGAGAGGCTGATGGTTTTAGTATCAGTTAAGCTAGTTTCACATGATGGATGCTGAGTTGCGGAAGCCGGCTTGAAGGTGTACTGGACTCATTTCCAGACACTTCCTTGATCGTGGGCCATTCTCGGGGTATCGCGGCCGGAGCAAGTTCGATGAATCCATCTGCCGAAGGCTTTCACCCGGATGACTTGATGCATCCCACGAAACAGGATCAAATCGAGATTCCTCAAATTTTGAGATTCTTTTGGGGCATTAGAACCGCCCCCATCGGAAACAAAACACTGTGACGTTACTGTGACATAGCAGAGGAAACACCATGGAAACTACGTAGATCTTCTCCACTTCCGCTCCCGGCACCGGCCGAACACCCGCGACCTCCGCTCGTCCACTCCCGCGCCCGACTTCAGGTGAGGACGCTGGGACCGCCCCCGCGGCCGACGCGCGCGGACTCGGCTGGAAAAGAGTTGGAGTGGTGGGAGGGGAGTGGAGCGGTGGGACCCACGTCCCGTCCTGGCGGAAGCACTGCTGCGGAGCAGGGATCTGGGTGCTTCGGAGTTCGCCAAGTGGTAGGAGAAATGGCTCAGTTGGATTTGCACTTGTTGTGAAGACCAACATGTTTCGTCGAAGGTGTGATTCTCATACAGCCAGGGTCTGACTAGGGCAGGGGGAGGCCTTTTTGAGTATCTTAACCCCGGTTTCGAAGGCTTGAAAGACCAACTGTTCCAGTCGACTGGTCCGGTAGTTGGAACATGTGGGTCAGAAAGGGAGCAGGCTGAGCAGGTCCTCAGGTCTTTGCTGCTCAAAAGCGGAGAGTTTGCGACTAGTCTGGACAGTCCGCACTCCTAGACTGACCCTCAAAACCGGATGGGTGTACATCCCCATTCTGTGTATCTCCGTGAACAGGTGGGTCACCTTCTATATAGCCATACATGTTCTACTCATTTGACTCGAATCTGCCTTTGCCTTAATGATCTCCCTTTCCATCAACCCAAATTCTACCATTTCTTCTGGGTGATGTAGAACAGATTCTCCGATGATCTCCGATGCTCTACCTACGTTGAGACACATCCCATACTTCCAAAGGCGTTTTCTTATAGATGCTTCATGGATGCTTCATGGACCCCCCGCCCAGAACCCTCCTCATCTGGCGCTCAAGAGGGGCGGCTCGCCCCCGAGCCGCCCGCCCGGCCGTTCGGCCAGGCGCTCAACGTGGCTCGGAAGCTCCGGATGGCCGGCCAGTCGGTGGACGTGGCTTGGCACAGATGGGACCTGGTACGACGCCAGACCGACCTGGCAACGCCAGACCGCCAACGCGTCGAACAGTCGAACACGTGGGACTTGTCACCTCAGTGTCGGTGTATGATGTGTGATCCGTTACGGCTTGTTGAACACAAACTTGGGGGGGCCGATTGGGGGACGTCCCGGGGCCTAAACCTCCAAAAGACGAAGAACATGGTGCCAACTCAGGGAGTTCAGGCATGGTGGATTGTCCCGGTCTGCTGGCTGGCTGCATGCAGCCAACTGGTCAATACTGGGGGTCGTCATCCCAACTGACATCCCATGGGTGGTGAGAAGTGGGTCGGTCGGGATTTGAGGTGTGATCTGAGATGGTCCCAATGAGTTAATTTTTAAAATGGCATGTCAGTAATATGTCAGTCCCAATTTAAGGTTTAGTTACCGTTTAACTACTGGGAGACCAGCATTTCAGCATGTCCAGAGGTTAAGTGACCCTAAGTGACGGACCCTACAGGGCCCCAAAAAACCGATGCCCAACGCAGACCGCACCACAGACCGCAAAGCGTTCAATACGCAGCCCACTTCCATTCCACGTGTTGGATACTTCGCAGCCCACATGCTGGATACCTCACATGGCTGGATACTGCATCCTTGAGCGCATGTTCGTGCACACTACATGTATACATGGTCATTTTGATGATATGTATATACTTTGTCCTTTTCTGACTGTCGCTCCTTTTCGTGACTTTCCTTTTCCTTGGTCAGTCTTGTATATAGTATAGTTTTTGACCTCTTCATTTTTGATTGTACAGGCTTGATTGCTCTACACGGTTTGTGGATGTTTGTGCTCTTGTACAGGTGAAGCCTAGGAGGTCCCTACCGACTTTGATGAGTGCTGCCGGTGATTGCCTTGCGCTGAGCTTGTCCAGCGCGGCTTGTCCGCTCGGAAACTCCTGCATGTCATCACTGCTCCTGCATGTCACGGCAGAGAATGGCGCCTGGCAGAAGGTGGAGATTTGTTTCGTGACCTGCAAGGTGGACCTTTACTTCGTATTTCCCACCCCACGGGAGCCCTGACGTTTGGGTGCCGATGTCGGACGCGATGTCCAACCAGGTGAACTTGATGCCGAACGTTTATGTCATGGCGTCCGGTCCGTGCGACTCAAGTCGTTTGTACAGGTTACTTGCTTTGACCTGAAGTGCGGAGACAGGATCACAGCGGCATGCTGTGGTGCTATGACAAGCCCCCGCCCCTACTATACTGATAGGACCCGAGTGGGGTACCTATATATAGGATATAGTCTATAGGGCTCTTCGATCTCTGCTGGTTGGTCCTCCACCGATTGGAACCTCCCATGAGGCGTCGATGCATCAGGTTGACGGCTCAAAAGAATGTTTCAGACCAACCTGCCAGGATCAGAGGACCATGGTAGGGACAAAGCAACAAAACCCATTCCAGGACCTTCAGTTCGTGACCTCGAATTGGAGTCTCTGTTTGTGAGCTTTTACTGGCCTGGTTGCGACCGCAAATCCTGGGATATCAAAAGGTCACTTTGAAGGTCCTGGTTCATAAATCCTTTGTCCGGTTTGGGCTTGTTCTGGCACATGTGTTTCTTTGGTGCCATTTGGGACACCTTCACCTCACACCTCATGATGGCGTGGAGCATATTTCCACGGTGCGGAGAGAACCACATCGACAAACCAAGTCTTCCAACCAAGACTGGGTACAAAGGCACAGCACCGACCCCAACCTGATCAATAGTCCCGAGACGAGAACTGGCCGCTGGGGAGGGAAAAGACTGCCTTCCGCATCGTGTTACCAGTCCCATAGGAGCATGGTCGCTCTTTTCCCATGTTTCTTTCCAGGTGACCGTTGTGACCGTTGTGACCCCATGGAGGACTCCTTAACAGTGCGACGTGCTGCAACCGCAATTGGGTGTGACGAGCGGCCGCAACGAAAAAAACGGAGTGAATGGCCTGCTTTGGGTTGAAGAACCGGTCAGAGACAATGACATTTGTCAGTTGGAGCCGGTCAAGGATGCCAAACGGTTCAGTTCTTAGCCTGCATCATTCCTTCAGAGTTCGGCGAACGCCTTTGACTCAGGTCTTTTCGGAAGAGACCAAGAAGGTCCACAAGGCCAAGCGAGACGGTCCGTCCAACTCCAAGAGTCGAATGCAGCGCCTTCGCACCACGTCCCCCAAGGTACTCACTGCTTGGGCACCCCCCCCCGAAGGCTTGGTACCAGCGATTCGCTGCACCAGTGAAGCTCAGTTGTATAGCGATTCGCAGCACAAAGCAGGGTGTCTTAGCTCCGTTCCGGTGCTTGGGTCTCGCAGTATATACCATGTTTGCTTGCAGTTGTATTGATGTGTGTCTGTTGTTGTGTTGTTGCTCAAAGGTTTTTGGCACTATAATTTGTTCCATTCTGGATATTCTGCTAGCGTGTGAGTGATAGGCAGCAGGCAGCGCAGGCTGCTTGTTCGTGAAGAACAACACCAATTCCCAGACACGACCCATGGGACTGCCATATATGCCGATCAGTTGGGGTGGTGTTTGGGGGGTCAATGGGGTGGCATATATGGCAGTCCCATGGAGCGTCTCTGTTCGTGTTGACACCGAAGTCGCTCCTTCGCGACTCAGCACTTCCCTCCACACCGACTGAGCGACTCGCCGATGGATCGGGAGTTGGGCACTAGACCGATCCGCGGATCGGGGGGTTGGCATGACAAGCAGAGACCTAGAGTCTCATCTTGCATCCTGGAGTCCCATCCTGCATCCTGGACCTGGGTGTGGCTGAAGATCCCTAGATTAGTAGTGTGAGGTACTATCAGGACATCAGAGGACACCTCAGGATGGTCCTGATGCTGGTGTATAGTTCAATTGGGAGAACCCCTAGGGCTTCGAGAAGTCCCTCAATGAAAACCTATTTATCCATCCTGAGATTGTATTATAGGGAGACACCCGAACCAATTGGTGTTGAGGTCCAAATTAGGGGGTTCATTCATGGTCATGTGACTCGTGTTTGATCTGTTTTTATTCTTGTTATTGCTCTAAAGCCCGCGCGCGTATCCGATCTACACCGTGTGCTAGAAGATGCTTATTCGGTCCTACACACCCGCCACACGCGGGCGCCACGAGCCGCGATACACACCGACAGGGCTTCAAGTATGCCGACCGGGTCAATGCCACTCGGGTGGCCTTCGTGGCGCCCGGCGAGTGGGAGCAAGGCGACCTGCTCCGCGCGACGTGCTCCGCGCGACGTGCTCCGCGCGACGTGCTCCGCGCGCGACGCGCGTGCGACGTGCTCGGCGAGGAGCGGCGTGTGTTGGGTCAACACGGGTTGCGACGACCGGTTTGGACGTTGGCGGAAGAGGAAGGTACTGTAGGTTGTAGGTATAGTGAAGGTTCTGTTGTGGGTGTTTGGTTATTTGGTATTTGTATATGTTTTTTTGGAGGGGAGGTTATTTGGTATTTGTATATTTTTTTGGAGGGGAAGGGAAATGGGAAGTTGTTGGATGCTTGAATGGAGTTCGTTTCTTTATTTTGTATTTCCATCACCTGATATGGTGCGGCAGTTCAATGGCTGAAAAGGAAAACGACCTACCAAACGCACGCAGCAAAGACATAGCCTCTCTCCAGAGTGGTGCATTGCCAGATGTATTTAAGAGCCATATCTAACAAGTCACATTTGAGCCACGCAGTCACATTTGAGCGATATCTAACCAGAGTGCAGGAGTGATATAACATGGGAACTATATACTGACGCACAGATACTTAAAACATCAGATCCTTAGAACATCTTAGAACATCACTGTTCTGTCCCTCACTATACATGAACATGATGAACCTTTCAATGGTCAGGTGTGTCCCTTTCAATGGCAGTTCAGCAAAGTATCACTTCAGCAAAGGTCACCCATGTATCTCATGTCTCTCCCATGTACAGCTTCCCAGCTTCGTCCGACTGCCCCGGGCTGCTGACGTCGCAGCTCCGGGCACCGGGTGAAACCACCCCCCGTCGCAGGTCTCGTGACCATCAAGGAGGGGGTTCCCAGACATGGAGTCCAGGGGGAGACCTGGAGAACCAGGTGTGAAAATTTGGTGTCCAATTTGGAGGATAGGAAGGGAGACAGACAGAGCAACCAATGAAACGATCTAAAAGGATACATACAAGAAAACTCATGATCCTGTGTGTGTCTTTGTGGATGGCATCACTAATGATA